ATCCCAAAGGCCTCACCTCCTAATGCCATCACATCAGGGGTTAAGACTTCAACATATGAATTTTGGAAAAACGTAAACATTTGGTGCACAACACCTTTTCCCTGAAGCACATCTAGAATGTAAATGATAATAATGATTCCTTTTTTTTTTTTTAAAGGTGATGGCCAGGCTGGTCTTGAACTCCTGACCTCAGGTGATCCACCCACCTCGGCCTCCCAAAGTGCTAGGATTACAGGCGTGAGCCACCGTGCCCAGCGGTATACATTCTTCTCCAGTTTTCCAATTAAATTGTGTATTCCAAGAGGGCAGGGACTGTGTCTGTCCTATTCATCACTACTAACCTTTAGCTGCTTGGTGCATGGTAGGGCTCTGTCCAAGGACAGGAGGCTCATGAGTGAGCCTGAAAGAAAACCCAAGTGTAAGGGTAAATGAGCTTTTACAATCTAAGTTACTCATCTAGATACAGCATCTAGTTTAGAATTAGAGGAAATATTCTTATGGGGTTAATGAAATGCTTAGATGGGAATACACTTCTTTCCCCCAACTTTTTTTTTTTTTTTTTTTTTGAGATGGAGTCTTACTCTGTTGCCCAGGCAGAAGTGCAGTAGTGCAATCTCAGCTCACTGCAACCTCTGTTTCCTGGGTTCAAGCAGTTCTCCAATTCTTATGCCTCAGCCCCCTGAGTAGCTGGGATTATAGGCACCCACCACCACACCTGGCTAATTTTATATGTTTAGTAGAGATGAGGTTTCACCATGTTGGTCAGGCTGGTCTGGAATTCCTGACCTCAGGTGATTCGCCTACCTCCACCTCCAGCAATGTTGGGATTACAGATGTGAACCATCATGTCCGGCCGCTCTCCTCTTAATGTAAAAAAGTCACAGAAATTCTTGAAATTAGAGTTAGTCTCTGAGATTTGTGAGTGGTTCCACGTCAGATAAGATTCCTCACACGTGTGTGTTTGCACAGAGCTTGGACTGGGGAAAGAAGAAAAGCACTGAGTTGAGAACCGATGGTTGTAGATGACTGGAGTTAGTTTTTTCTTCGGTCTACCCAGCTGAGTTTAGTTATATAGATGTGTGCTGAGAAATTTAGGTAAGAGAGCCGGAAATGTTGGTCTGAACTTCAGTTGTTGGCCAGGTCATTGTTAGAGAATACTCAGCTCTTTGGCTGAAATAGAACTCTCCCCTCCAAAGAGCCAGGAGGCCCCAGAGTGGAAGGCAGGAGGCCTTGTCAGTGGTAACCCCCAATTCCACTGCTGCTGGAGGCTAACACCCTCACTGTCAGCACAAGGTCCGTTCCTCTGGGAAGGAAATGGTCTACTGTCTCCTAGATCTTTTGAGGCCTAAGCACATAGGCCTTATTTTAAGAAGAGACTGATGATTTAGTGTAGAAAAGTGGCTTTTTTCTTATGATCTGTCTACTCAAGTGAGAGTGACCATATAGCTTATTATCTTTTGGCTGTTTTACAAGTGAAAGGGAAACCATCAATAATGGTGCTAAGACAGTAGGTGTAAATTGGGATGCTGAGTTTATCTCAGTCTGAACTTCAGAGTCTTCTCAATAGCATAGCAGCTTATAGCAGGGATGGGACAGCCTGACACTGATGAGTTGCTGAGGAAATAGAGCAGAAGTAAAGTATTTACCTCTGTTCACTAATAGTGGCATGTGGGGCCTCACAGACCTGATGTAGGCTGGCCCTGAATATGCACGGTCCCCCAGCTCCTTTGCTATTTGCCGAGAAAAAGAAAGTGTCTCTGTTGTCGGTAGGATGTGTTCCCCTTCAGTCTGAGCTGAAACTACTGATCTGGCAAGCCTTAACTGAGCATCTACTGCATGGCACCATGCAGGTTCTGGGAGCCAAAGAAATAAGAAGCATCACCCCTTCTTGCAAGGCTCCTTCAGTGAATGGGGGCCCTGATGTGCAGGTGGTGGTTTGCGTGTGGAATATGGGAAGAACGGTAGCTGGTATGAGCAACATCAGAGTCTGGTCACTGCTGTGTTTTATGATCTCAAGCCAGCAGGTTTCCTGTGCCTGGGCTTCATTTTTGCCTATATAATGAAAAACTGGACAAGATTTGCTTTATGATTATTTCCAACTCTGATCATCTGTATTTGTTATCTGTTGCTACATAAGGAATCACCCCCCAAACTTAACAACCTCAAATAATAAACATTTTTATCTCACACAGTTTCTGTGGATCAGGAATCAGGGAATGGTTTAACTAGATTGTTCTGGCTCAGGGTTTCTAATGAAGTTGCAGTCAAAATGTCAGTTAGGGCTGTGTTAATCTGAAGGCTTGACTGAGGATGGTCAATCCAGTTCCAAGACAGCTCGTTCACATGGCCGGGAAATTGGTGATGGGCATTGAGCCTTTTTTCCCTAGGGCTGCTTGAGTGTTCTCATATTATGGCAGCTGGCAGAGCAAATGATCCAAGAGAAGTCAGGGCAGAATCCCTGGTAGATTTAGCCTCAAAGTGACATACCATCACTGTTTTTGTACTGTTAACAGTCAAAAATGAGTTAACAGGTCAGCCCTATCTGACCCGTGAGGGGCTACACGAGGTTATGCATAGTGGTAAGTGAGAATCATAGAAGCCCTCTCAGAGGCTGGCTATTACATCATCTCTAAGTTTGTAACAAAAAGTCTAGCAGTAAAGACAAAATCAACTATACCTTCTGAAGACTTGGTTAAGCATAAACTTCTGGATATGAGTGGTTAACTCTTGAGTTTTTTTTCCTTCTTTTAAATATTTCTAGAAACCCTAATGGGTCTCCTAAGCGACTGCTTAAAGCTGGAGTCATTTCTGCTCAAAATATCTACAGCTTTGGCTTTGGGAAGGTAAGAGGTTGCCACTGACAGCCAGTGTTTGCAGGACTAACTGGACAATCATCGGGCCCATCTCTCACCTTTGCCCTACTCCTCCTTCCTTATCCTTACCAAAGTGTTGTTCTTTTCTTTTTTGTCCCTGTTGAGGGAAAGGTATCTCTCAGTGTTCCTGTCCTTACTAACAAATTGTGAAAACCCCAGATAATTCCCTTGGATGACCCTGGGTTAGATTTGAGTTTAGAAAATTATCTTTTAATTAATTAATTTTTAGTTTTTAATTTTTAATTTTTTATTTTTATTTTATTTTTTTGAGATAGTCTTGCTCTGTTGCCCAGGGTAGAGTGCAATGGCGCAATCTCAGCTCACTGCAACCGCTGCCTACTGGGTTCAGGCAATTTTGTGCCTCAGCCTCCCAAGGAGCTGGGATCACAGGTGCCCACCACCATCTGTTACCTGTATTTTTAGTAGAGATGGGATTTCACCATGTTCCCTGGTTGATCTCAAACTCCTGGACTCAAGTAATTCAACCACCTTGGCCTCTCAAAGTACCGGGATTGCAAGAATAAGCCACCTCACCCAGTCCTACTCTCCATTCTGTTTGTTGTGCTGAGGCAGCCTGGAGGGGAGAGGGAGGAGGAATATCAGATTTGGCCGCACATAATCCTGGGTGCCGTGGGGGCCACAGTAGGCTTCTCAGTCCCAGCCATGCCACTTGAGGCATCTGATTTCTTTCTGTGAGCTTCAGTTTCTTCAGGGAAAAGAATAAAAAGGAAAGAATAATAGAATCTTGAAAGATTTTTAGAAAGATTAAAGATAATAATTAAAGATTAAAGGATTGTGGTGAGGGCTGGTGGCTCACACCTATAATCTTAGCACTTTGGGAGACCAAGGTGAGTGGATCACTTGAGCCCAGGAGTTTGAGACCAGCCAATGTGGCAAAAGCCTATCTCTATGAAAAACAAAAAAGGCTGGGTGCAGTGGCTCGTGCCTGAAATCCCAGCACTTTGAGAGGCTGCGCAGATCACAGGGCCTGGAGTTCAAGACCAGCCTGGCCAACATGGTGAAACCCTGTCTCCACTAAAAATACAAAAATTAGCCGGGCATGGTGGCGAGCGCCTTCCAGCTACTCGGAAGACTGAGGTGGAAGAATCACTTGAACCCTGGAGGCGGAGGTTGTAGTGATCGAGATCGTGCCACTGCATTCCAGCCTGGGCGACTGAGTGAGACTCTGTCTAAAAAAACAAACAAAAAACAAAACAAAATAAAATTAACCAGATACAGTGGTGCATGCTTATATTCCCAGCTACTTGGGAGGCTGGATTGGGAAGATTGCTTGAACCCAGGAGGTCAGGGCTGCAGTGAGCCAAGATTGTGCCATATGCTCCAGCCTGGGTGACAGAGTGAAACCCTGTCTTAAAAAAAAAAAATGCCCAGTGCATAGGAGTATTCAGAAAGTTGATAAACAGCAGCTGTCATTCTTTTAGATGGCTGTTAAGATTCTGGATGTATTCTACTTTTCCTTCCTCTCCCCATAATTTGAGGCTATGCCTTGGTTTCAGTTTTATCTCACAGGGGCGACACAGATAGCCTATCTAGGATCTCTTCCTGTTATTGGAGAAAAGGAAGTGATTCAAGCTGATGATGAGCCCACCTTCTCTTTCTTCAGTGGCCCCTACATGGTCATGACCAAGTAAGTGGGGGCTGGCCTGTGGGAGGTCTGATTCAGTTTCAGAGGAAGAGTGGGCAGCATGTGACTTCCTTATGTGTGGGGAGTTTCTACTCAAACACTGGAAACGCAAGAACATCTGTCTAAATCAGGATTTCTCAGCCAGGACACTATTACCATTTTGGGCCAGATGATCCTTTGTTGTTGGGAGCAGTCCTGTGCGTTGTAGGATGTTAGAAGTCCCTGGTTTCTACCCACTAGTGTCAGTAGCAGTCCCTTACAGCCCCCACAGCTGTGACAACCAAATTGTCTTACAGACATTGCCAAATGTCCTCTGGTGGGAGAACTGCTGCTCTGAAAGATTATTCATTACAATATTTTAATATCTCTGCTTGCTAAAGAATTAGAGGGCAACTTGGTAGTGACTGTCTTGCCTCTGATATAGGCCAAAGGTAATGAGTCCCCCTATAGAAACTGTCTTATTGCTGCTGCCTTTGCCTAAGTCATCACCATCCCTCAGCTGGACTGGTCTCTTAACTGGCCTCCCATTGACTGGACCACCCCTCCCCTACCCATTCCCCACGCTGTTGGTACCATTCTGCCTCTGAATACAAACCTGATCAAGTCACTCCCTTGAAATCAGTGACTTCCCACCACCTACACCTAAGTTCCCTAGGGTGCCTTATTACCTGGGAGTGGTGGGAAGGAGGACCCAGTAGTGCCCAGTGGTATTTCAGGTTCTATGTAGAGACCATATTTCTGGTCCTTGCTTAGGAAAACTCATTCACTGAAGAAGTGGCTGCTCAATCCTTTCTGTTGAAACTCTTTCCTGTCTTTGCAGCCTGGTGTGGAACGGGAACAGGGTCACAGTGAAAGAGCTGAATCTCCCTACCCACCCACACTGCAGCAAGCTGCGACTGGCTGACTTGTTAATTGCTGAGCAGGAACACAGCAGGTGAGAAGGAGACCTAAGGACCAGGCCCCTTATAGGTCCAGGTCTCTCTATAGACCCAGGTTCTGGGCTGTTTAGCCCTGTGCCTAGGATGGGGAGCTCCAGCCCCTCTCAATCTCAGCATTTCCTGACTGTTGAAATTGATTGACTTGACTTCCAAGGGCTTCCAGGAAAGAGGAAGAGAAGTTAATGAGTAGCCTGAGCAGTGGGAACAGTGGTGGTGAGGGGCTCTGTCTGTCAGCTGCCCTGTAACCCACATCTCTGAATGCTGCAGCCTCCATGCAGGCCCTTTTGGTTCTCCTGCTACAAGTTCTGAGTCCCACCCACTTTAGGCCCTGTGCCCATCAGAAAGGCATGTGACTATTCTGTTTTCATAGAGCATGGCTTGTATGAGATCCAGATGTCTGAGGATATATCTCTGCCATTGAGGACATGTTCATGGATCTCTGGACCTTAGGATTCCTGTGGCTGCAGAGTTAGGTCCTTCTGCTCTTGCGAGGACAGGCTCTTGATTTATTCATTCAGTGGACCCAGGCTTATCAACGTGTCTCCTGAGAAGGCTCCTCAACTCCTGCAGGAGGCATCTAGAGAGGCTACATCCTTCTTTTTGTGGAAGTCGGCTTGAAGGGACCAAAGAAAGCTGAAGAACTCCAGCCTGGGCAACATAGACTTTGGCATGAGACTGAGTCAGGCATGCGACCTTGGGTAGTGAATTCCTGACATATTTCCTTTTTTTGGGGGGGGGACCAACTCTTGCTCTGGAGTGCAGTGGCAGGATCTGGGCTCACTGCAACCTCCACTTCCTGGGCCTCAGCCTCCTGAGTAGCTGGAACTGCTGGTGTGTGCCACTACACCTGGGTAACTTTTGTATTTTCGGTAGAGATGGGGTTTCACCATCTTGGCCAGGCTGGTCTTGAACTCCTGATCTCAAGTGATCTGCCTGCCTTGGCCTCCCAAAATGTTTTGATTACAGGCATGAGCAACTGTACCAGGCCCTGCATTTCCTTGATGTTGGTCTCCTCGTCTCTAAAATGAGTGTAATGATACATTTCTTACAGGTGGTTGTTAGGATCTGAGATGATGTATGCAAACAAAGTGTACAGGAGCTCTTAGCCACATTGTCATTGTTATCATTGACGGATCTAAGCTCTCAGGTTCTCATCAGCAAGGGCCACAGATTCCAACAGAAACCCTCACCCTATCCTGTTTACTTAGAAAAGATTGTGTACAAATGGCATTTGTTTAGAATGTGTTCAAAAGGCCTACGTCCATTTTTTCATTATGTCCGCCTCTCCCCTGTCTAAAGCTTCTTTTCTTTTGCAGCAAACTCCGGCACCCCTACCTGCTGCAGTTGATGGCTGTGTGTCTGTCCCAGGACCTGAAGAAAACCCGCCTTGTGTACGAGCGCATCACTATCGGCACATTGTTCAGTGTTCTTCATGAACGAGTAAACCACTGTTTCCATGGATTTTCCATTGCTGCCCTCCCAGTTTCTTCCCTCCCCACCCTCTTGCCTTAGCTGTGGTGATCCTATTTTTGCATGCATGGAAGATAAATATCTTTTTTTTTTTTTTT